CCTTTTAAGATGAGGACAAGAGTCCGAATAATGTTAATATGTACATAATATCTCATCCCTGTATAGACAGATACTGAAAAGGCCAAACGTTGTGATAAATATGGCAACAAAAGATGAAAACAATAGTCCGAATAATGTAAATAGTGATCATAATACCATCTCAGGAATATAGACAGATACTGAAAGGTCGAAACGTTGTGATAAATATGGCAACAAAGATGAGAACAATAGTCCGAATAAAAATCTAAATAGTATAATACCTCATCTCAAAATATAGACAGATACTGAAAAGGCCGAAACGTTGTGAAAATATGGCGACAAATTATGAACTATAGTCCGAATAATTTAAATAGTGTTTTACCTCATCTCAGAAATATAGACATACTGAAAGGTCGAATCGTTGTGATAAATATGGCATCTGTGATGAGAACAATAGTCATAATAATATATATAATATCTCATCTCAGAAATATAGACAGATACTTAAAGTCCAAACGTTGTTTATGGCGACAAAGATGAGTTATAAGTTATAAATAGTGTTACATAATTTTTCTTAAAATATAACCCAGATACTGAAAGGTCGAAACGTTGTTAAATATGGCAACAAAGATGAGGACAATAGTCCGAATAATGTTAATAAAATTAATAATACCTCATCTCAAAATATAGACAGATACTGAAAGGTCGAAACGTTGTGATAAATATGGCGACAAAGATGAGAACAATAGTCCGAATAATGTAAATAGTGTACATAATACCTCATCTCAAATATAGACAGATACTGAAAGGTCGAAACGTTGTGATAAATATGGCAGCAAAGATTCAATAGTCCGAATAATAAATAGTGTACATAATATCATCTCAGAAATATAGACCAGATGCTGAAAAACCGAAACGTTGTTATTAAATATGGCGACAAAGATGAGGACAATAGTCCGAATAATGTTAATAGTGTACATAATACCTCATCTCAGAAATATAGACAGATCATCAGGACCTGGTTAGAAATTCCGAAGGGAGAGTTTCGTTTTTTTGTTTTTTTGTTGTTTTTTTTTTTTTGACTCAGTACAGTATTTTTTCCTTACTTTCTTGTCTGCAAGAGATTATTTAATTTCAATAATGATAGCTTCCTCTTGATCTGATAATCGTAATTTAAAACTTAGATTAAGAATTGTAAGTCTCTTTCTCCGAGCTGTTGTTATTACATCTCTGCAATGATTTAGTTTCCCATTGCGGGTTTCTTTATATTATTTGCAATGAGCACCGCCGGTTTTTGTTTAGGTATGTGTCCATTTTTTTCCAGAATTCTTATTTGTACTTTCTTTTTAGCTTTTAGTTGGATTATTAAATTGTCAAATAATTGCTACAGTTGTATGAGAACCATAGAAAAAATAATCGAAGGTCAGAATAGTAAAAAAAAAAAATAGAAATAGGTAAAACGAAAAAATGCAATTGCGGGATACAGATAATTGTCCCGAGTCTGTCTATATTTCTGAGATGAGGTATTATGTACAGTATTTACATTAGTCGGACTATTGTCCTCATCTTTTTTGAAAGACCGGAGCGTAAACAGCCGAAACGTTGTTTAAATATAACCGAAAGATGAGGACAATAGTCCGACTAATGTAAATACTGTAGATAATTGTCCGTTAGACAGCAACTATCTAGTAGATGGTATTGTTTACAGAGCTACAGTAGAGCCTACAAAGAACCAGAAAAAGGGTATATTGGTTCTACAAAAAAAAAAAACGTTTAGAAGAAACTTTATAACCACAAATATTCCTTTAATGTAGCGAGTTACAGAAACAACATGAAACTGCTGGTTACGTCTCGAATGTAAAGGAAGCAATTACTAAGCGTTCCAATATGAAATGGGATGTATTGAGAAAAAGCCTGATCAGTTAACATCGGGAATAAGATGTGTAAGCTATGCCAAGAGGAGAAACTGGTAATTGCGCTATACTCTGAGCAGCATAAAGAAAGATGAGAAGTCATGACGTTTTGCAATTCGTACTGGCAAATTATGAACCTGTGTAGGAGTATTTAAATAAATTTTCTCCCCCTCTTTGTTTCTTTCCTTCACCCCATTAACAACATAATTGTGTATATAAGGGCATCTGTGAATGGAATATCTATCCATATATATATATATATATATATATATATATATATATATATATATATATATATATATATATATATATATATATATATATATATATATATATATATATATATATATATATATAGCGCACGGGGAGTACTTGTGATTGTAGAGCTCTGAGCTTCATGCACGTGGCAATAAAAACAATAAATTGTAATATGAACTCTGGTAAAACCAGTTCCCTGAGAAAAGTTTTAAAAATCAAAAGAAATTCATACACTGTCCCCAAGGACACATGGCCTAGTTGATAAAAGCGTTGGTTGAAGTAATCCAGTGACTTGACCCAAAGAGTTATGAGTTCAATACCTGGCAACAGCAGAGGCGAACAAAATCTTGGATAGTTGAGTTACTAAAGGGAAATGACTGAAAACTCAGAAAAGGCGTGGTACGCGGAACGAGAATAATCTACCCCGGGTAGAAATTCGGTTCAAAACTTCAACGCATATCACCTGAAGAAGGCCGAAACGTCGTGAATGTGACAAGTTGAGAACATTATAAATAGTGTAAATAGTTACAATATCTCATCTCGGAAATATAGATAGATGCTGAAGAAGTGCGAGGCGTACAATGGCCGAAATGTCGTGAATATGAGGAAAACAGTCCGAAAAATGTAAATAGTGCAAATAGTTACACTATTTGATCACAGAAATATCGACCTAACTGAAACTGAGATATCCAAGAAGAGCCATGGCACGTGGAATGAGAACAAATATCATTCGGTTCGAAATTCCTACGCATATCACCTGAAGAAGTCCGAAACGCCGTGAATACGACAATAAAGATGAGTACCGCATAAATACAATACCTGACCTTAGAAATATAGACAGATTCTGAAGACGGCCGGAGCGTACAACAGCCGAAACGTCATGAATATGAGAATAAAAATTCGCTCCATAGCCCGAACAATGTAAATAGTTACAATTATGTTGTCCGTCCGTAATTGTGACTGTTCATATGTCCAAAGTTTATTTATTTATTTATTTTTTTTCAATTCGTCTGTGTAATTGTCCATGTCTGAGCAAGACACGAGCCGTCGGGATATAAAGTCAGTCATGGTAATATAATGTTATCATCAATGGCCACATTCCCAAGAATGAATATTGAAGCAATTAACTGACGCCATTTTCCCAGCTGGTAACATTCCTTTCCCGACGAACTTACGTCCCAGTGGAGAATGGACTAACTTTTTATGGGCTTACAATTCTATTTTTAAATTTAACTTTTATTTTTTTGGCTTTTTTTTTTCATCTTATTTTCTTAATTTCCTTTCTCTCTTTCTTTTTCTTCTAATACCCTTGTTTATTTTATTGACTCCTTTTCTTTCTCCCTCTATTTTTTGTCCTTCTTTTTCCTCATACACTTTCCCGTCTTTATCTTTCCGATTATTTCTTTAATTCTCCTTTTTGTTTCTGTTTCTTTTTTTACAGTCCTTTTTTTTTTTTGTCTCTCTTTTTCATCTTCCATCTTATTTCTACATCTTTTTGCTCCCTTTTACATCTACACACGTCGTGACTATAATTTCTCCATATTGATTTAAATTGGAGAGAATACATCCGGTTACTAATTGACTTGCAACTATTTTGGAAAAAAAAAACAAAAAAAAAACGAAAGGTTCCAAGGGACACAACTCTTTCTAAATGTGGATAATATTCAGCAAAATTAATGTTTTTTTGTTTTGTTTTTTTATAAGATTCAGTAAAATTAATATTTGTTTTGTTTTTTGTTTTTGAAAATATGAAAGGGTGTAATGAAAATTTTTGACTATTTTCATGGTAACTGCGCTCACGAGCTAATTTCACTGGTATCAAAACTGCATGAATTTAAGTGTGCTACTAGGTTGGCATTTCGGTCCCACCCTTTCACTGTTATATGTAGGCGTCGTTACTTCTACTCCAATAGCTTCTTCTCTTGCACTTCCCGACAATGGAATTCCCTTCCTCTTACTTGCTTCCCTGATAGTTATAATCTTCAAATATTCAAATTTAATATCAATCGGCATCTTGCGATCACTTGATCTTGATCCCTGTCCTTTTCTGTATCCTTTCCTCAAACACTCCTTTTTCTTCTCGCTCTTATTTCTCTGTAACCCCTCCCACTTTACTCTTACTTTTACTCTCTGTAAACCCTCCCTCTTTACACTTACTTTCACTCTCTGTAACCCCTCCCTCTTTACTCTTAGTTTTACTCACTGTAACCCCTCCTCTTTACTCTTACTTTTACTCTCTGTAAACCCTTCCTCTTTACACTTACTTTCACTCTCTGTAACCCCTCCCCCTTTACTCTTACTCTCACATTCTGTAACCCCTCCTACTTTACTCTTGCTTTCACTCTCTGTAACACCTCCCGCTTTACTCTTACTCTCACTTTCTGTAACACCTCCTACTTTACTCTAACTCTCACTATCTGTTAGCCCCTCCCTCTTTACTCTTACTTTCACTCTTTGTAACCCCTCCCACTTTACTCTCACTCTCACATTCTGTAACCTCCCCCTTTACTCTTACTTTCACTCTCTGTAACCCCTCCCACTTTACTCTCACTCTCACATTCTGTTACCCCTCCCTTTCTTCTTGCTTTCTCTGTAACACCTCCCTTTACCTCTCACTTTCTGTTACCCCTCCTACTTTCCTCTAACTCTCACTATCTGTAATCCCTCCCTCTTTACTCTTACTTTCACTCTCTGTAACCCCTCCCACTTTACTCTCACTCTCACTTTCTGTAACCTCCTCCTACTTTCCTCTAACTCTCACTATCTGTAATCCCTCCCTCTTTATTCTTACTTTCACTCTCTGTAACCCCTTGCGTGCTAGTACCACCCCCGCCTTGCTTGGGGTTAAAAATGTCCGTTTCTTTTATTCTTCTTTTCTTTTTCCTTCATTTTTTCTTTCATTTTCATTCCAATCTTAATTCATTCCTTTATCCTTCTTATCACCGATCCTTCTTTCACTTTTCTTCGCTTTTACTTTTCAGTTTTTTTTTCTTTTCTTTTTTCCTTTTTCATCTTTCTTCTTTACTTTCTTTCGTTTGTTCCAAACTATGAAATAATTACTAAAAAAAAATCCCCCACACAGATATTTATAGACAAATCTTACAGATGCATGCTGGGATTTATTCTTGGCCAGTAAAAATGAACTAATTCTCACTCTCATCCGCCATATTTTTTCTTTCTTGTCTTTAAGTTATAATGCTGTAATCCCTTTCTATGGAAATACCATTCATACTTCGTTTTTCATTTTACTTATGACTGTTGCTCCGACTATTTTTGTCTTGTACATACCCTGTATACTCGTTTATAGTTCTAGTTTTATGATAATTTTCACGCAAAATGGAGGAGTTCGTACTATACGCAGGTAATGTTTGTGAAGAGTTGAAAATCATGTATTTTCTATCACTGGTTGCACTATACACATATAATTTTTTTCTGCGGGTATTAAAATTCATGCAAAATATTCAGGGGTAGTGTTATATATGAAGTCGCCTTATATACGAGTATATATTGTTATTTAGTATTATTTTGCCCTCTTTTATTTTTATTTTCCTTATTGTTTATTGCAAAAATTCGTTTGTTGGGCATTTTGCAATATACACTTAACCTTAGTCAATTACTGTATTTTACAACTTTTTCTTCTTTCTTTTCTTTACTTCTACTTATGTTTTTCATTTTCCATAGGTTTTCTTAATTCTTCTTAAATTCTCCTTCTTTTTTTTCCTTCCCATATGTGCAATCATCTTCGTGGATACGTTTTCTTTCTTCCATCATTTTTTTTCGCTTTCTCTATGTTTTTCCCGATTTAATTCATTTTTTTTTCTTCCTTCATTCTTGCTAATTTTTTTTCAGCCTTTTCCTCTTTTTCTTGGATGCATTATCTTTCCTAATTTTCATTCTTCTTATTTGTTTTTTTTCTTTCAAACTTCTTTAATTTTTTTGCTTTATTTTCTTTTTGATATTTTTACTCATTTTCTGTAAAATTTTTCTCCTTTCTTTTTTATTTCTGTCTTTGATTTTTCTTTTTCACTTCCTTCGTCACTTCTTTTTGCTTTTATATTTCCATCGTTGCATTTTCTTCTTCACACCCTTTGTCTCTTTTCTTCTTTTTACTTACATTTTTTTCTTCAATTGTTCCTTTAATTTCTTCTTCCTTTCACAGCTTTTACTTCTCATTCTTCGTTTGCAAAAGAAGGTGGAAACGTTTTCCTTCATTTATTTCTACTCACGACTATTTCTATTTTCATTCAATTTTCTTCTTATTTTTCCTTCGTCACATATTTCTTATTTCTTTCTTTTTTTTTCATTACTTTCTTTTCTTCTACTTTTCATAGTTTTCTTCATATCAAACATTTTCCTTCTTTTTTATTCTTCCTTTATTCCTTACCGTTATTCCTTTGTCACTGTAGAGTTGACATTGCATTTAAATTTATGAAGATCAAAGGCAATAAAGCCCCTAGGATGCAAAGGGGTTACTGAGTGTTAGAGAATATGAGAAAAAACTATTGGGAGGGACTACTATTAAGGAGAGGACAATTAAAAACAAGAATTAAGAAGACATAAGATAACGATTGACATTGCATTTAAATTTTTGAATATCAAAGGCAATAAAGCCACTAGGATGCCAAAGGGTTACTGAGTGTTAGAGAATATGAGAAAAACTACTATTAAGGAGAGGGACAATAAAGAACAAAAAATTAAGAAGACAGAAGATAACGATTGACATTGCATTTAAATTTATGAAGAACAAAAGGCAATAAAGCCACTAGGATACAAAGGGGTTACTGAGTGTTAGAGAATATGAAAAAACTACTATTAAGGAGAAAGGACAATAAAAGAACAAGAATTAAGAATACAAAAAGATAACGATTGACATTGCATTTAAATTTTTGAAGAACAAAGGTAATAAAACCACTAGGATGCAAAAGGGTTTACTGGGTGTTAGAGAATATGAGAAAAAACTACAATTAAGGAGAGAGGACAATAAAGAACAAAAATTAAAAGACAGAAGATAACGATTTTGCATTTAAATTATTGAAGATCAAAGGCAATAAAGCCACTAGGATGCAAAGGGGTTACTGAGTGTTAGAAATGAGAAAAAATACAATTAAGGAGAGGACAATAAAAGAACAAATTTTTTCACTTAAATGTTTGAAGATCTTTTCCTAAAAACCACTAGGATGCAAAATTTTACTGATTTTAGATCTATCCATTTTCGTTTTCTGTCTACACACCTTTTTTTGTCCTTTTTTCTTTTCTTTCTTTTTTTTTTTTTTTTCAAACCTTTCCTCTTTTCACTATTTCCTGAATTTTATTTCCCCTACCATTCTACATCATTCATTTTTTTTCCATTTTTCCGTTTTCTGTCTAACATTTTCTTCTTCGTTCTTTTCTTTCGCATTTTTTACATTTTTTTTTTCCGACCTATATTGAATGTTCTTCACTTTCATGGCTGAAGAGATTCTGTTTCCCTCACCATTGTCAACACTTTCATTATACCCATTTCTTCCATTTACTTTTCTGTTTATCATTTCTTTTTCTTTTCTTTCTCCTGCCTCTTCCTGACGCCCTTTCTTTCTCAGGCCTTTTACTTACTTCCTTTCTTTCTCCAGCCTTTTTTTACTTCCCCTTCTTTCTCCTTTCTTTTTCCCCTTCTTTCTCCTGCCTTTTCCTGCTTTCTTTTCTTTCTTCAGCCTTTTCATGACATCCTACCTTTCTCCACCCTTTTCCTGATTTCCTTTCTTTTTCCTGCTTTTCCTTCATTTTTCTTTTATCCAGCCTTTTCCTTTCTCCTTTTCCTTTCTTTCTCCAGCCTTTTCTGACACTCTTTCTTTCTCCCGCCTTTTCCTTACTTCCTTTCTTTCTTCTGCCTTTTCCTGATTTCCTTTCTTTCTCCTGCCTTTTCCTGACTTCCTTTATTTCTACAGCCTTTTCTTTATTTCCTTTCTTTTTCCTGCCTTTTCCTCACTTCCTTTCTTCTCCTTCCTTTTCCCTTTTCTTTCCTTTCCCTCCCTGGCTTGACTCTTCAGCCTTTCCTTTTCTTTCTTTCCCTTTTTCTTTTCCTTTCTTCCTCCAGCTTTCTTTTCTTCCTGCCTCTTTTCCTGACTTCCTTTTCTTTCTCCTGCCTTTTCTGACTTCCTTTTTTTTTCAGCCCTTTTTCTATTTCTTTTTCCTGCCTTTCCTTTCTTTCTTTCTCCTGCCTTTTCCCTTACTTTCCTTCTGTCTCCTGCCTTTTCCTGATTTCCTTTCTTTCTCCCTTTTTCCTGACTTCCTTTTTTTTCCCTTTTCCTGACTTCTTTCTTTCCTGCCTTTCCCTTCTTCTTCTTTCCAGCCTTTTTGACTTCATTTCTTTCTCCAGCAAGTTTTCTTACTTCCTTTCTTTCACCAGGATTTTCCTGATTTCCTTTCTTTCTTCTCCCTTTTTCTTACTTCCTTTTTTCTCCAGCCTTTTCCTGATTGCCTTTATTTCTCCTAACTTTTCCTGATTTTCTTTCTTTCACCTGCCTTTTCCTCATTACCTTTCTTTCTCCTGCCTTTTCCTTACATCCTTTCTTTCTCCAGCATTTTCCTTACGTCCTTTTTTTTCTCCTTCATTTTCCTGACTTCCTTTCTTTCTCCTGCTTTTTCCTTACTTCTTTTCTTTCTCCTGGCTTTTGCTGATTTCCTTTCTTTCACCTGTCTTTTCCTTACTTCCTTTCTTCTTCCTTTCTTTCTCAAGCCTTTTCCTTGTCTCCTGATTTCCTTTCTTTTCTCCCTTTTCCATTCTTTTCCTTCTCTTTCCCTTTCTTTTTTCTTTCTCCTGCCTTTCCCTGATTTCCTTTCTTTTCTTTCCTGACTTCCTTTTTTTCTTTCTTTTCCTTCCTTTCCTTTTTTCTCCTGCCTTTTACTGATTTCCTTTCTTTCTCCTGCCTTTTTCCTGCTTTCTTTTCTTTCTTTCTGTTTCTTCCTGATTTCCTTTCTTTTCTCCTGCCTTTTCCTTTTCCTTTTCTTTCTCCAGCCTTATCCTTACTTCCTTTCTTTCTCCTTTATTTTCCTGACTTCCTTCCTTTTTTTCACCTTTTTTTTGACTTCCTTTCTTTCTCCTGCCTTTTTCTTTTTCCTTTCTTTCTCCTGCCTTTCCTGGCTTTTTTTCTTTATCTTCCTTTTCCTTTTTTTCTTTCTCCACCTTTTCCTGATTTCCATTTTTTCTCCTGCCTTTTCCTTCCTTCCTTTCTTTTCTCCTGGATTTTCTTATTTCTTTTCTTTCCTGCCTTTTCCTTTTCCTTTCCTTCTCCTGCCTTTTTGCTTACTTCCTTTCTTTCTCCTTTTTCCTGATTTTTTCTTTCTCCTGTCTTTTCTTGGTTTCATTTCTTTTTCTCCAGCCTTTTCTTCATTTTCTTTTCTCCAGCCTTTTTCTTACTTCCTTTCTTTTTCTCCCACCCTTTTCCTTAATTCCTTTCTTTCTCCTGCCTTTTCCTGACTTCCTTTTTTCTCCAGAATTTTCCTTACTTCCTTTCTTTCTCCCTTTTTTCATACTTCCTTTTCTTTATCCTGCCTTTTTTCTTCTTTTCTTTCTCCTTCCTTTCCTGCCTTCCCTTCTTTCTCCTGCCTTTTCCTTAATTCCTTTCTTTCTCCTGCCTTTTTTGACTTCATTTCTTTCTCCTGCCTTTTCCTTAATTCCTTTCTATCACCTGCCTTTTCTTGACTTCCTTTCTTTCTCCTGCGTTTTTCTTCCTTCCTTTCTTTCTCCTGCCTTTCCTGTTTTTCTCCTGCCTTTACTGTCTTCCTTTCTTTATCCTGTTTTTTACTTACTTCCTTTCTTTCTCCTGCCTTTTCCTGACTTCCTTTATTTCTACAGCCTTTTCTTTATTTCCTTTCTTTCTCCTGCCTTTTCCTCGCTTCCTTTCTTCTCCAGCCTTTTTCTTACTTCCTTTCTTTCTCCTGCCTTTCCTGACATACTTTCTTTCCCCTGCCTGTTCCTGATTACTTTTCTTTCACCTGCCTTTTCCATACTTCCTTTCTTTATCCTGTCTCTTCCTGATTTCTTTTCTTTCTCCTGCCTCTTCCTGACTTCCTATCTTTCTCCTGCCTTTTCCTGATTTCCTTTCTTTTTCCAGCCTTTTCCTTACTTCCTTTCTTTCCCCTGCCTTTTCCTGACTTCCTTTCTTTTTCCTGCCTTTTTCTTATTTCTTTTCTTTCTCCACCATTTTCCTTACATCCCTACTTTCTCCAACCTTTCCCTGATTTCCTTTCTTTCTCCTGCCTTTTCCTTACTTCCTTTCTTTCTCCTGTCTTTTCCTGACTTCCTTTCTTTCTCCTGCCTTTTCCTGACTTCATTCTTTCTCCTGACTTTTCCTTACTTTCTTTCGTTCTCCTGCCTTTTCCTGATTTCCTTTCTTTCACCTGCCTTTTCCTGACTTCCTTTTTTCTCCTACCTTTTCCTTACTTCCTTTCTTTCTCCCTACCTTTTCCTGATTTCCTTTCTTTCTCCTGCTTTTTTCTTGACTTCCTTTCTTTCCCCCAAGCTTTTTTGACTTTCTTTCTTTTTTTTTACTGCCCTTTCTTTCTTTTCTTTTTCTTTCTTTTTCTTTCACCTGGATTTTCCTTTTCCTTTCTTTTTCTCAAGCCTTTTTCTTACTTCTTTTTTCTCCAGCCTTTTCCTGATTTCCTTTCTTTCTCCTGCCTTTTTCTTATTTCCTTTCTTTCTCCTTTTTCTTTTCTTTTCTTTTTTCTTTTTTCTTACATCCTTTCTTTCTCCCTTTTTTCTTACTTCCTTTTTTTCATGCCTTTTCCTTGACTTCCTTTCTTTCTCCTGCCTTTTCCTTACTTCCTTTTTTTCTCCTGCCTTTTCTTTCTTTCCTTTCTTTCCCTGCCTTTTCCTTACTTCCTTTCTTTCTCCTGTCTTTTCCTGATTTCTTTTCTTTCTCCTTCTTTTCCTTTCTTACCTTTCTTTCACCTGCATTTTCCTGATTTACTTTCTTTCTCCAGCCTTTTCCTTACTTCCTTTCTTTCTCCTGCCTTTTCCTGACTTCCTTTCTTTCTCCTGCCTTTTCCTTACTTCCTTTCTTTCTCCTACCTTTTCCTGATTTCCTTTCTTTCTCCTGCCTTTTCCTTACTTCCTTTCTTTCTCCAGCCTTTTCCTGACTTCCTTTCTTTCTCCTGCCTTTTTCCTTTCCTTTCTTTCTCCTGCCTTTTCCTTACTTCCTTTCTTTTCTCCTGTTTTTTCCTTTCTTTCTTTCTCCTGCCTTTTTTTGACTTCCTTTTCTTTCTCCAGCCTTTTCTTACCCTTTCTTTTCCTCCTTTTTTTTCTTTCTTTATTTCTTTCTCCTACCTTTTCCTTATTCCATTCTTTCTCCTGCCTTTTCCTGGCTTCCTTTCTTTCTCCTGCCTTTTCCTTCCTTCCTTTCTTTCTCCAGCCTTTTCCCTGTTTGGACTTTTCATTCTCCTTTTTTTCCTTATTCCTTTCTTTCTCCTTCCTTTTCCTTACTTCCTTTCTTTCTCCTGCCTTTCCTGACTTCCTTTTTCTTTCTCCTGCTTTTTGCTTATTTCCTTTCTTTCTCCAGCCTTTTCCTTATTTCCATTCTTTCTCCTGTCTTTTTCCTTTAGTTCCTTTCTTTCTCCCTGCCTTTCCTTTACTTCTTTCTTTTCTCACCTTTTTTCTACTTTTCTTTTCTTTCTCCTCCTTTTCCTTTCTTCCTTTCTTTCTCCTGCCTTTTCTTTACTTCCCTTTCTTTCTCCTGCCTTTTTGACCCTTTCTTTCTCCTGCCTTTTCCTCATTTCCTTTCTTTCACCTGCCTTTTTGACTTCCTTTCTTTCTCCTTCCTTTTCCTTATTCCATTCCTTTCCCTCCTTTTCCTGGCTTCCTTTCTTTCTCTAGCCTCTTCTGACTTCCTTTCTTTCTCCTTTTTTTCCTTTCTTCCTTTCTTTCCTGCCTTTTCCTGATTTCCTTTCTTTCTCCTGCTTTTCCTTTCCTTTCTTTCTTTCTCCTGCCTTTTCTTCTTTCTTTCTCCTACCTTTTCCTGATTTCCTTTATTTCTCCTGCCTTTTTCCATTTCCTTTCTTTCTACCTTTTCCTTACTTCCTTTTTTTTCTCAGCCTTTTCTTTATTTCCTTTCTTTCTCCTGCCTTTTCTTACTTCCTTTCTTTCTCCTGCCTTTTTCCATATTCCTTTCTTTTCCAGTCTTTTCCTTGACTTCCTTTCTTTCCCCACTTTTTTCTTATTTCCTTTCTTTCTCCAGCCTTTTTCCTTACTTCCTTTCTTTTCTCCTGCCTTTTTCTGATTTCCTTTCTTTCCCCTTTTTCCTGATTCCTTTTTCTCCCTTTTTTTTCCTTACTTCCTTTCTTTCTCCTGCTCTTTCCTGATTTCTTTTCTTTCTCCAGCCTTTCCTGAGTTCCTTTCTTTCTCCTGCCTTTTTTCTTACTTCCTTTCTTTCTTGCATTTTCCTTACTTCCTTTCTTTCTCCTGCCTTTTTTCCTGTCTTTTTTTTCTTTCTCCTGCTTTTTCTTACTTCCTTTCTTTTCCTGCCTTTTTTCCTTCCTTTTCTTTCTCCAGCCTTTTCCTTTCTTTATTCCTCCTGCCTTTTCCTGATTCCTTTTTTCCCTGCCTTTTCCTTTCTTCCTTTTTTTCCCCTGCCTTTTAGCATTCTTTTCCTGCCTTTTTCTCACTTTCCTTTCTTTCCCTGCCTTTTCCTGATTTCCTTCCTGCCTTTCCCTGACTATTCTCCTGCCTTTTCTTAATTCCTTTCTTTCCCCTTTCCTTTTTTTCCACTTCCTTTCTTTCTCCAGCCTTTTTTTTATTCCTTTCTTTCCCTGCCTTTTCCTGATTTCCTTTCTTTCTCCTGCCTTTTCTTACTTCCTTTCTTTCTCCTGTCCTTTTTTTCCTTTCTCCACCTTTCCTTTCCTTTCTCCAGCCTTTTCCTTACTTCCTTTCTGTCTCCAGCCTTTTCCTGAATTGACTTTTTTCTCTGACTTTTCCTTTCTTCTTTTTTTCTCCTGCCTTTTCCTGATTTCCTTTTTTCTCCAGCCTTTTTCCATATTCCTTTCTTTCTCCAGCCTTTTCCTTACTTCCTTTCTTTCTCCAGCCTTTTCCTTTCCTTTTTTCTCCTGCCTTTTCCTCACTTCCTTTTTCTCCTGGATTTTCCTTTATTTCCTTTCTTTTTCTCCTGCTTTTTTTCCTGATTTCCTTTCTTTCTCCTGCCTTTTTCCTTTTTCCTTTCTTTCTCCAGCCTTTTCCTTACTTCCTTTCTTTCTCCTGCCTTTTCCTGATTTCCTTTCTTTCTCCTGCCTTTTCCTGACTTCCTTTCTTTCTCCTGC